GATGTTATTCTATTTTCCTAAACTGGTAATATTTGTTAGAAATGTTGATATATTATGAAACTGTTATCTATGATAAATTTCATTATCCTTTTACTAATTTAGGGAAACAATAAAAAATTGAATATAAATTTTAATTAAAAAATAGGACTAGTAATATATTTAAGATTTTGCTTCCCCAAATATTTGAACTTACCTAATTAGATTTCAAATTTGGAATATATGATCATCAAAAGTTAATAAAAACGTAACAACTTTAATTAGGAGTTGATCCATACATAAAAATGGTAACTATTTTTGAGACTTCTAAACCAAACTGATGTCATATCTAAACTTAATTCGAAATTCAATTATATTTTTTTAACAATTTATATAAAAAGTTTAAAATAATTTGTATCAATACAAAACATGTTAACAAGATAAAATATTATATTTAAAACTAAACAATTTAAATAAAATGAGGGTGAAATATGTTAAACACATGAAACAAGTTAAATAAACAAAATCATAATGCGGCTCAGAACTATATGCAATCCTCAAAATTTTAGTCCAACTTATAATAAAAAATTAAATCATATAATTAAATTTAACATACATTATATTAAAAGTTTAAGAATATATAAACTAGAGTTTGTAATTTTACATAAAATAAATTTCCACCAAATACTAATTATTCCAAAAATATTAATGTTCGTAACAAAAAATATGCTCATACAAAAAAATTTTAAAAAATTATACAATTAAATACAAACTAAATTTTTATAGAATATATTTTGGTAATATTCATCGCGTGCTTTTAAATCGCCGGTCAGAATCTATTAACAAATTAAAGCTCATAAAAAGTGGGGCACAGAATCTTATATACTATACTTAGGAACATACAGGGGCGGAGCTATTACTGTGGGAATGAGGTCAGGTGACCACACCTTTTTTAAAAAAAATATTTTTTTTATTTAATAAAAATATTGTGTGACCCCAGCAAAAAAAATTAAGTGACCCCATAGTCAAAATAAATGTGAGGCAAAAACATAATTAAAGCATTGATCATTATTTTTTGGCTTAGTTTTTTGATTAAATATTGTTTTTGGGCTCAGTTTTAGTTTAACCCATATTAAATATAAAAAGGATTCATGTTTAATGAAGTTTCATTAACTATTAATTTATTAACTGGTATTTTCTTTATCGCTGTAATCTTATTTCAATCTTTTTATTGTTCACTACAAAATAAAACGGGTTTACATTATATGTTTTCTAGTACCCCTTAATATATATAGATGATATTTCATTTCATATTAAGTTATATAAAATAATGTAAACTCACAGATAATTTAACATTTCTATTTATAATTTAATTTATTAGATAATGCATCAAATTTTAAATATATATATATATATATACATTTTAAACAATTAAATTTATTTTGGAAAAGTAAATTTCTTATTATTAATTAAATTAAAAAAATAAAATATAATAAAAATAAATAAATATAAAATATATTATATATTTCAAAATTTTATTAAAAAATGACCCTAGTAGAAAAAAATGAATTTTTCTAGTAACATATAAAGTTTAACAGCCGGATTATTCTTCTACACACACTAATATTCAACAACTTTATATTTAACTACCTACTCATCATTTTACATTGTACTACCAACTCATATGATAATTTAATTCCAATATACATGTTGAAGCCCCGAATAACAAATTAAACATGGATATATAGTAAAACTTTATATGTTTTCTATTGTGAGTTTGGTTTTGTGTTATTCACATAATCTCTAGAGGATTAGGGATGGCAAATAGGTTATTCTATCATGTCGCGTTTTGTACCGCAGCGGGTTTATCGTCGAACGGATCAAGGCAGGTTAGACCCGCGCGGACTGCTGTTCCCGAAATAGCTGACCAGGCCTGCAGTCCAATCTCTATAGAGGATCAGTCCAACGGTAACAAGTAAGTCTGGTTACTGATCTGATTACTCTATGTGACAGTTACATATTCCCCCCCACCCCACCCAGTTTTATTTTCTGAAAAAGAATTCTAATCGAAGTTGACTTGTAAGGAGGCATGGCATGAATAACTGGAAACATACTCAGCATGGACAGTATTGACTATACAAGATAATGCAAATGTTTACATTTTCTTTTACAACAATTCTTATGCTTACTTTCATGACAATCAATCTAACTACTATAAGAATATAACAAAATAGATTCTTAATTTATGTTCTCATCGTATGGACTCCTAATTAATAAAATTTAAAAGTAAAATAAATTCTCGCATACAAATCTTACTTTGAAATAATATTTTATCTGTTTCAAAAATAATACATATTTTATAATTTTTCACACATATTAGTTAAATTTATTAATTTTAGTATTAAATGCATAATCTTTTGTGGTTATCTCCTCACAGTTCTAATCCAATATAAATTCAGTAAATGTAATTATTTTTTGAAGTTTACAATTAATTACTATTAGTTGACAAAGCCTCCACTAAAATATAAAATTATATCGTTTTGAAATAATAATTTTAAAATATGGATCATTATAAAAAAGAGGAAATAAAAAATAATTTTTTGATCAAATATAAATAAAATAAAAAATGAATTTGATTCACAAGTGTATTATTTTAATATTTAATCAAAATCCAAAAATGCTATTATCGTTGACAAAATTAATCCATACACATGATTAATCAACAAATTAAATCCCATTTAATAGGTGAACAATTGTTTAATCAATAGAGAAGTCGCCAAGAAAACTTCAATTGAAATTTTGTTGTTTTGAAAATTTAAACCTTGGATATTCATAATTCAAATATAAAAAGGCTGGCATGGTTATCAAATAGCATGTTAAATAAATAAGGATAACCAGCTATAAAAAGTGGAACTAATATTGACTTAAAAAGGAATCACTTTACATGTTTGGATGACTGGACTGCAATCATGCACTGACCATGAGCTCTTCACGTGTGATTTTGTGCTCATCGCAATCCTATAAAGTATATATAAACCTATCACGATTAGTACGTATCTGCTTAACCAGTAAAATTAAAAACACGACTAAATTAAATGTTTCAGAGCGTTTTTTTTTTTTAAACGTTTCTGAGAGTTGACTAACTGAAGTAACAGAACTACCTAAAAGACGCATTGGGTTGACTTCGACCGCTCAAAAATGGCACGAAAATTGCAGTTCTTGGATTCCTGTCTTCGGTCAAAAGATGTGATTCATATTACAGTCGCTTTTTCGGGTGATTCGAGACACAAATTATTATTTGTATTCAGTTTTGGATTGTTTATTATGGTTCAGAATATCAGTTGTAGAGTAATTGGCTCTTGCATACTCAAAATTTCTTTTGTTTTAAAATGAAAAATCCGAATAGTTGTAAACTAAATTCATGCACGTGAACTTATCCCTCCTATTAAACATCCCTCCAATGTTCCATTAAAAGACAGTTATATAAAATATTTTATTTTACGAGATCTTCCGAAAATCGTACATAACTACACTATGTTTATACTTAAACTTCATGTTAATAGATTAAAAATAAATGAAAATTAAGAAAAAAGGTACGCGGCGTAAAAAAATCCACAAAACTATACACTATTTTCATGAAAATGCATGACTAACATAGATATATATTCTCTTACACAATTACTTTTTTTGTTGAAATTAGAACGAATGGCAAGGCTTATATATATAAACAAAGTTATTAAATATCAACTTTTATAAAATTATCATCAGAGATTCCTTAATATAATATATACTCGCGTTTGAAAGCGCGGAAATTTTTTATGATTAAAATTTTTATATAATTGAGTTTTGTCTTAATTTAAAGAATGTTTTGGTATAAAATCAGTTCATCAAAATTTGTGGTGATGATTGTTTTTCATTAATTTTTAGTTTCAGTTTTTATTTTTAGATATTGTTTTATATTTTGGTTTTTGGTTTTTTGTTTTTAAGTTTCTACTTTTGATTTTCAGCTTTTGGTTTGGGTTTTTAATTTTTAGACCCGCTGAGTTATTTTGAACTAATATTACCAACAAACAAATCACAAATAATCGAATATCTAATTTAAAACTGAAAAGATGACAATTTTTTTTTAAAAAAAAATTGCAATAGTTTAGTTTGTAAATAAACAAAAGCAAAAAATATAACCTGCATTTTCAGCTTTTGGTTTTGAATTTTAGTTTTTACATTTTGTTTTTTAAAATCAGTAAATTATTTAAGAAAAATAAAACAATAAATTATTTAAAAGTTACCATTGAAATTTATCAAAACAAAGTGATTGTTAATTAAAAGAAAAAATACATTAACATGTTTTAAAGTACATGATTTAAATAAATGATTAATAATAGACAATTTTGTTTTCTTAAAAATATTAAATACCTTTTTGGGACTGAAAATAATAATTGATTTTTTGATCTATTAAGGTGCAAAGTTTATTCAATGTTTTTTGAAGTTATTTTTTAATGCTAAGCCCAAAAACCAAACTATATAATTTGTCATAAAAACAAAAGTAAGCCCAAATCTCTATTCCATAAATAACCGCCGGTTTAATTTAAGTAATACGGTTCAGTCAACTATATGACTTGTATTATTTGTAACACTCTAGAAAGAGTCCAAATTTAAATGACAACTTGTATCAGTAGATAAAAAGAATGACTCTATTTTAGTAGAGTAGATATATATATATAAGACTAGTTAGCTAATAAACACATCTACAGCTAGGTATGTATATAAATCTTGTAAAATAATGAAGGATATATATAACCCCGAAGGTCACTTAAATTAAATCTTATTATCTATTTTTAGAGTTTCTTGGCAAGTATTTCCTTTTGAATAATTGTTAATTTGTTTTCATAGTCCATACAGCAAGTAATTTTCGTCATCAGTGACAATAAATGGCATGAAAGAAACACGCACACATCCCTATATAACTCGACTCATCCAATTAGTCCAAAGCAAATAAACATTAAACAATCCAAAAGAAAACAAAGATGGCTTCAACTCCAAGACTTGCCATGAAAACAATATTCCTCGTACTCATCTTGGTCTCTTTTACTATCTCTCCGGCAACTTCAACGGCGCCGGAAGACTGCGCAAGCGAGTCAGCGAACCCGTGCGTCAACAAGGCTAAAGCATTGCCTCTCAAAGTCATAGCAATAGCAGCAATCCTAGTTGCAAGTATGATTGGTGTTGGGGCTCCTCTCTTTAGCCGAAACGTACCGTTCCTTCAACCTGACGGGAATATTTTCACTATTGTTAAGTGTTTCGCCTCGGGGATTATCCTTGGAACCGGTTTTATGCACGTTTTGCCTGATTCTTTTGAGATGTTGTCATCACTATGCCTTGAAGAGAACCCGTGGCACAAGTTTCCGTTCTCTGGATTTCTGGCTATGTTGTCCGGTCTTATTACTCTAGTCATTGATTCCATGGCTACGAGCCTATACACTAGCAAGCACGCAGCTGGGATCGTACCACATGGTCATGGTCATGGTCACGGCCGCGAAAATGATGTGACCTTACCAACAAAAGATGGTGATTCCAGTAGTGCACAACTCTTACGATATCGAGTCATTGCTATGGTTAGTACACATGGGAATATTAATTAGAACCCGAAATAATAATCGACGTTTCTTTTTTAAATGATATATAACCGAATATAAATGTTGTGAATACATATGCAGGTATTGGAACTTGGAATCATAGTTCATTCTGTAGTCATTGGACTATCTTTAGGAGCAACAAGTGATATTTGCACTATTAAAGGACTCATCGCAGCTCTTTGCTTTCATCAAATGTTCGAAGGCATGGGTCTTGGTGGTTGCATTCTCCAGGTATAGAAATTTATATATAAGAAAACTTTTATCTACTGTCAAAAGGTTAAAATAAACATCTTATGTTTGATATATTTTCAGGCTGAGTATACGAACTTGAAAAAGTTTCTTATGGCGTTCTTTTTCGCGATAACAACACCATTCGGAATAGCTTTAGGGATCGCTCTTTCTACTGTTTATAGAGACAACAGCCCCAGTGCATTGATTACTGTTGGATTACTCGATGCATGCTCCGCGGGATTGCTCATCTACATGGCCCTTGTCGACCTTCTAGCTGCCGAGTTTATGGGACCAAAGCTTCAAGGTAGCGTCAAAATGCAAATCAAATGCTTTATTGCAGCTCTTCTAGGGTGCGGTGGCATGTCGATCATCGCCAAATGGGCTTAACTAGGTTTCCCGGATAATAATGAGGAATTAAACTATTGAAGTCGTGTGAATTTCATTGTTGAACTAAGTTTTATGTTATCTATCATATATCATATTTATCTTTTAATATATGCACTGTGATTGGTCCCACGAGTCATATAGTTTTCATATAAATAAATAATACTTTTCAAGATTAGCAAATAACAGAAATGAAAAAATAATTTGTTTACGTAATCTAATTTCGGTAGCGTGACCGCCGATAATGGGCAGTGACATTAATAGTCCATGGTTAATAACATGAATACCATACTGTTCCATTCTGAGATTTATTTTTCTACATGTTCGAAGCGGATCAGAGATGCATTTCGGCCTTTTGTTTTCGAAATGATTAGATGAGCAATATAAAAAATCTTTTTTTTTGAGCAATATTAAAAACCTATATATAATATTATGAAATATAAAATGGAAAAGCCATACTTGTAGCGTGTGGGCCAACAATTGTAACCGTTACGAACCCGTTAAACACACAATAAAAACAAGCCCGTTTAAGAAGTTGGCCTACTATAAAGGTTCATTGTCATCAGATCAATAAGCAAATAGACCGCTTAGACCATATAATATCATGTCTAGTATGCTATATGCGGCTTCATAAGTCTAGTCAAACAGTTTTTGGTTTTTGTTTTTCCAAAAACCACTTTTTCACCAATCAAGATTTTGACAAAATAGATTTCCTAAATTATAGGGAAACCAGATTTTTAAGTAACTACCTATTTTCAAGTAAAAACCAAAAACCACATTTTCTTGGTTTTTAGCAATGTACGTGGGATTTTGGATTCTTATTTTTATTAAATCTAAAAGAATTATGTATTAATATAATAAAAATTAACAAAAAGACATAAAGTTATAAAATAGTAAGTAATCCAAATCATTAAAGTTAAATAAAATATTTTACGAAACTGTAATTTAATTTGTATTTAAGCGTCTAGCTATTACTTTATAGATTTTAATTACATACATTGTATGCATTTTCCATATTTAAAAAAAAAGAATACTTTAATTATGTTAATATAAAATCTAATTATCCATTGTCTACAATTAAATATATTTCAAAATTTACAGATATTTCTATTTATTTTGTAAAATTGGAATTTCATAAATTTTATTCTTTCTTACCATATTTTATAAAATATAATTTAATTTTATTTAATTTTTTGAAAGTTTAAATAGTTATATTTTTCCTATCGATATAAAATTAAATGTAACTACATGTATCTAGTGGTTTTTATTTATAAAATTTTATTTGTTGTTTTATTTAAAAACAAAATTTTAATATAGGAAATTATTCATTTCTAGTGACAATTTTAGTATTTATGACTATTTAGTTTATTAATTCTTTATTTTACTTTGGAAACAAAAACCAAAATCTACCATCACCATTCAAGTTTTTCAAAAATCTAAAATCTACTGCAAAATCAAAAACCAAAAACTAAAAACCAAAATCTAAAAACTAAAAACCAAAAGCCAAAAACCAAAAACTAAAAGCTAAAAACTAAATAAACAATCATCACCTATCTATCGTTTTTAAAAAAACTGCTTGCGTGGTACTTAGTGGTTGCTTTTTTCTTTTCTTTGGTCATGTTTGTTTGTTTGTTTGTAATGAGGTTGTGATTGTTTTAAATGGATCTGTTACATTAAATAGAACATGTCTTTGGTAGATTCGTAATGGGATTGGTCTTACTCCCTCTGTTTCATTATAAGTGTCACTCTACAGCTGTGCACACGGATTAAGAAAACAATTAATTTTACATATTTCCTATATAAAAACACAGTTACCCATACACCTAACCATATTTTAACCAATAGAAAAACAAATTACATAATAAAATTAATAAATTTTGCATTGAAAACCAAAAACGACACTTATTTTGTAACGCAAAAAATTCTCTACAACGACACTTAATATGAAACGGAGGGATTACTAAACGTCATAGTATTCCTATTCCTTGTGTTTTTTCAAGGTAATCTTGTCATGTGATGGTTACGCATTCGTTAGCATAAAAAAAAGCATCGGTAAATCAATTAAGAACACTCTTTATTGTTAAAGATTCTCAGTTGAAATGGAATATAATGGTTGATGTTAATTATTTTTCTTGGTTCGCAAAATAAGTGATACTTTATGTAATTTAATTTTGAGACGTTTTCACAAAGCTGCGGGTCAATCACTAAAACATGGATATATAGTAAAGCTACCCAGTCACAGAACAGGTTTTCTATTGTGAGTTTAGTTTTGTGTTTTTCACAAAACCGGATCTTTTAGTTTACTCTGGGCTTGATAACGCAGCGGTAACTATCTTCTTTTGTGCTATATTTGGTACTAGTATCACCTCCCGTGCATTAGTGCACTAATGCACGAATAAATTTTTCTGTCTGTAAATTTATTTGATAACGTATATATCAATTTTTAATCAAAATTAAATTATTTTCTATCAAATATTTTATATATGAACCTGAGATGCATTCAAATTTAAACAAACAGGTTGAAAGGAAGAAGGGTTAAACAATAATTTTGATATTATTATTTTTTTTTTATATGTGAGCAGTATTATTTTCCAAAACTGAGAAACTGAGATTAAATTTGACTTTTAAGATTAAAATTGTGATTTTTTTTACAAAAATTTGATTGTTAATATTACTTATCTTTATTTTTCACCCACATTACTTTTTTAAATGTTCATATTCACAAATTTAGTGTGTTTTGTCAAAAAAAAGACTGTTTTCTTAAGTTATTATTTAAGGGTTTCGGAAAAAGTGTTTATCTAAAAATTAATTATTTTCTATTTTAGATAGTATTTAAAAAAGCTAGGAACTCTATAAAAAACTTGAAAATTTTCAAAATTAGTTACAAAAAGTTATGAGAAATTTGCTATTCTAAAAATTGTAACGACTAAAAACTAAACAAAATTATTGTTTACGTGGATTCTGAATGGTAAAACATTTTGCAACTCTACCATGGCCAACTTAACATTTTGAGTCAGGACTCAGAACATATCTCATCGAATCTTTTCTTTTGATTGCTTATATCTTCTTCTTTTAACTTTTGATCGCAGCAGACAAAAAAGTTTCAAAAAATTGACTAATACAAAGATTGATACTTTATTTTTTTTGGGAAAATTGTAAATATAGAACAAAAAGGACTAATAGATTGTCCATATGCCATGATATTAAGTATAAATATTCCAACTAGTATAAATTTTTCTGAAAAACCCAATTAAGCTCTTAATCTAAACCCAAATAATTTGTTATTTGTTTTAATTATTAAAAAGCATTTTATAATTAAATAAAAAATAATAACAAAAGGGGTAAAATAACAAAAGGGGGAAAATGGTTCCCGATCTCATTTTCCCCCAACTATCTAACCCTAAATTTCCCCCTCTTTGGCGATAGAGAGAAGAGCCGACTCCAGAGTTCACCATCGCCGGTGTTCCTTCTTCTCTATAAGACTCCGGTGGTGTTCTTCTTCTTAATTGAAGTCTCAGACACCTCTTTCTCACTTCGCGTCTCGTTCTCAAGTAAATCGCCGAACACTAAATCTTATGCCCCACCGGAAACTGAAGCTCGTGCCTTGCCCCTCTGCAATTTACACTCTCAAGTCTAGTTTAAGCAAAACGATCGAGATTTTCAGGTTTGTTCAACCATTTGTGATTTTTTTTGCATGTCTTTGTATCTTTAATTTGAGTCTTTTTTACTCATATTTTGATTGTGATAGGTTTGAAATGTAGTTTCTATAAATGATTTGAGTGTTTATGTTATCAAAGTTTTATTCTTTTGATTTTTGTCATCGATTTTGCTCTTAAAGTCTTACACTTGATTTTTGTCATCGGATTTGGTATTAAATTTTCATACTTGTTCATGTTTTTCATATGTTACCGTTTAAGTTGTTTTTGTGACCACCGATTTTTCTATTAAAGTTTCAGGCTTGTGTTGCCCTAGCTCGGGTTAAACATGTTATATTGAACTCCTATTCAGTTGTGTAAGAACTCGTATTGAGTTGTGTAAGACAATCTGGAATGAAATTGTTACCAAGATGTATTTTTACCGAGTTGGTGTCTCATATATATACAATTGGCTTGGGTTGTACATCTAAATATCTTGTAAGCTATGTGGTTTCGGTTTCAGTTTTTTTTTTTTGTAGGAATTGTGAACATAAATTCGCATGTCTTCTCTCTTCAATTTGAGTGTCTTTAATCCTAATATGAGTATAACATGTTTATACATTACTCATGAGTACTAATTGTAATATTTCATTGTTCACAGGTATGAAAATGGATCAATTGCCTAAGTGCCTATTCCAAGAAGGAACCGAAACACAAATTAAGGTCAACACCACTTGCCGAGCTACAATCCTTGAGTTGGTGAAAACGTCCATTCCAGCAGAGTACTCGGATGTCTTGGAGGGTCCGCTCTTTGCTCAAGTCATGGCTATTCATGATCACAAGCTTGGCTATTCTGGGACAGTGATCCACGCCTTCGTCTGTAAGCAGCTTCTGGCCGCAAAGCTTCATGATTTGTGGTTCCATTTTGCTAGGAGGCCTCTAAGATTTTCAGTGCAAGATTCTATGCGATCACTGGTCTGAAGTATGAAGACGAACCTGACTTGGATATCGATGATTGGAAATCTGATAAAGGGTTTTGGAGTCTGTTGCTTAGGAGGAAAAAAAAAGATAACTCTACAACAGATCAGGAAGGTCCATCTGAAGAAGTGTAATACGTGGTATCATGTTGATAGACTGAGATTGATGTATTTGTGTGTTATTGCTGGTATGGTTATGGCGAAGGATGAGAAGGTGGGGATACCACACAAGTACATCAAGCTCGTGATGGATTTCGAGAAGATGAGGAAGTACCCGTGGGGACTTCATTCTTTCAACATGATGTTTAGTTCCATTATCGATGCTAGGAACAAAGTGAAGACGAAGAAGAGTTATGTTATATATGGATTCTCCTATGCACTTCAGATTTGG